TCAACGCATGAGCATCTCATCTCTAAGAGCTCAGCTGAACTAGAAAAGACCATTTTCATGTAGAGTTGGTTTGGTTCATTCACAGGAGAATAATATTCCAATCTTTCAGGAGCAGGCTGAGATTTAAGAGACAGTATGGTAGCATAAAGGAAGTGAAAGAATTTCAGTGTGGCTAGGGGAAGGGACAGTGGCAGAACCCAAGGCTGAGGACACAAAGAAGAGATGGGTCATCCAGGATGTTTGTACGCTCTATTAGGGTCCAGCAGTGTGCAAGTCCCCAGTAATCATTAATCTAATCCTCCTCCAGGCCATCTGAATTTACTTATATCCAAAGCATCAGAGATGCAAGCTCACACCCATTACTAGAACTCGGTGTCTTTCACACCCTCTCTTTCCTCCCAAATGTCTTTGGCAGTGGCTGTGTCTGGGCTCCATCCAGCTCTCCTGGCAGAAGATGGAAACACACTCACATCTTCCAGCCTGGGCTCAGAACAGGCCTTCTTTCCTTCAGAGAGAATTGTTGCTGGAGACATCTAATTTTACAGATCATGGTTTTGGAGAGGGAAAAAAAATGTCACCCCAGAAATGAGTGGGAAATTACTCACTTCTGCAGAGACGGAAATGTCAAAGCAGATTGATCCAAACCCCACTGGATTCCTGGGCAGCTCATGCAGAGACCCAGGAAGCCCAGAACCTTCTTTTCCCCAGCCTCTCTCGAAGCTATGGAGAGCTGGAAGTTGGAAAGCACTCACTCACCACTGGGACCTCAAAATCATTTCTCAATCCACTTCCTCTGTCTTCCACTTCCTCAAAACCCTGGGTTAATTTTCACATCCTCTACCTTAATATTACCTCTCCCAATGCATTTCCTGAGCCCAGGGAAGGGTGGCTAAGGTGACACTATTCTCTATTTTCAGATACTATTTCTATACAACTTTTTCAGAATACTGATGATGCTGTCTTTGAATTACTGTTTCCTATTTGTTTTAGTTACTTTCCTACCAAACCTGAGAGATTCATGACTACAAGGTAAATATGATCTTATTCTCCCAATACCTAGTTTGGCATCTGGCTCATAGATAATGCTTAGTGATTTGTTTTACTTGAGGAATGGGTGGATTAATAAATGAATGCATGGATTCTTGAGGCTTGACGACTTCCCATTGTTAAAAGTGTCTGTCTTAGTGAAAAGTCTCCTTAAAACACATATTGAGATATGTATTTGAAAAAGGCGTATTTAGACTGTGTTGGTCAACGTTCTGTTACTGTGATTAAAAACAAAACACCTACCTGAGCTGATTGACCAGTCTAAAAGGAGGAAAGGTTTATGTTGGTGCACGGTTTCAGAAGTTGAAGTCTGTGGTCTCTGACATCTGTTGTTGTGGGGGAGACTGTAGGGAGATACCACATCATGCTAATGAGCAGAGGCAGAGTAAAGCTGCCCAGCTCATGATGGCTGGGAAGGAAAAAAGAGATGGGCGTGGCCAGGGTTTCCACATCCCCTCCAAGGACACGCCCCCAGGGATGTCACTTCCTTCCTCGGGGTCCCAGCTTTTAAAGATCCCCCACTACCTCCCAATAGTGATGTAAGTTGATGACCCAGGCTTTGAGTACTTCAGTCTTTCGGGAAACAGTGAAGGTTTAAAGTCATCATATTTGCCTTCCACACTTCTCAACGTACTGGGTTCTCAAAAATCACTCAGATACCACTCAGTATGGTATCTGCTATCTCATAATGTTTGTCATTTAAATCTCATCCTCCTGGCCCCTCTCACAGAGGTAAGAGTTTTCATTCCCATTTTACAGTAGGAAAGGGGGAAGAGAGTTTCAGTACACCAAGGGAAGAAGAAGACTGAAGCCCAGTTCTCTCATCTGGCAGGTGGAAGAGTCAGGGTACAAACTTGGAGAATTAAGCCCAAGTTTCTGGTTTGTTCTGTCCACAGAATTTCCTAGAGTGGTATATTTGTGCTTCTGTAGATAGATGAGCTGATTTTGTGATGATAATTTACACGGCAATAATTATGTGTTTATTTCAACACACTTTAGAAAAATTCATGTAACCAATCTGTCAAACCTGTGATTCATGGATCTGGGAATTAGTGGGGGACACAGAGAGGTAGGATTGGAAGGGTGGATAAAGGTTTGTTGAGATGTAGAAAAAAAAACGTAAGTAGCCGGGTGCCAGTGGCTCACGCCTATAATCCTAGCTACTCAGGAGGCTGAGATCTGAGAATTGAGGTCCAAAGCCAGCCCAGGCAGGAAAGTCCATGAGACTCTTATCTCCAATTAATCACCAAAAAACTGGAAGTAGTGTTGCGGCTCAAGTGGTAGAGCACTAGCCTTGAGCTAAGAGCTGAGGGACAGCACCCAGGCCCAGAGTTCAGACCCCACGACTGACAAATATAATATAATATAATATAATATAATATAATATAATATAATATAATATAGTTGAGTTTAGAGACTAACAGGATGGTTCTAGCACTTTTTTTTCTCTTTACTTTTTTTTCAGTATTGAGGATTTAAACTTGGGGCCTACAGGCAGTCACTCTACCACGGTAATCATGTCCCTAGTCCTTCTTGCTTTGGTTATTTTTGAGATAAAACTAGACCCAGTGGTCCTGAGGCACAATCCTCCTATGTACAATTCCCATTAGCTGTGATGACAGCTTTTTGTTGGCTGAAATTTTGGAGGGGGGTGGGGTCTCACAGTTATTGCCCACGTGGCCTTGAACTGTGATCCTCTCCCTCTGCCCCCCTTAAAAAAGTTTTCCTAGATGGTTTAAGCATGTAGGAAGGACGTTGGATGATTCTAGGACTGTCCAAATAAAAAACAACCCAGAGGAAAATGTTCACGTTACTCAAGTGCTTTCTCCTCTAACATTTGTATTGATACCCCCTGACTGGGTTTAGTCTGCCTACTTACTGCCCTGCAGCTAAATGGGATGAGGGGAAAAAAAAAGAAAGAACAATTCTCATGGCTGGAGGCCAAGGCAGACTCTGCCTTGGAACTCGGAGGGATTCCCCAAAGCAGAAACTTCCTTTGGGAGGGGGCGTGGACAAGAGCGGTAGTGGTGACCATAGAGACAGTTGTATTGGCAGCTGAGGGGTAGCAGTAACCATCACCATAGCAACAGCACAAGTAGGACAACAGCTAATACTTACAGAGCACCTACTGTCTTACACAGAGCCATTTTTGTGCATGTGACAGCACTAGGCTTGAACTCAGAGCCTGGGCACTATCCCTTAGCTTTTTTTTTTCCTTCAGGCTGATGCCCTATTACTTAAGCCACAGGGCCACTTCTGTCTTTTTGGTGGCTAATTGGAGATAAGGGTCTCAGAGACTTCCCTGCCTGGGCTGGCTAGGAACTATGATCTTCAGATCTCAGCCTCCTGAGGAGCTAGGATTACAGGCATGAGTCACCAGCACCCAGCTTCCATGTAGCAATGTGTGTGTCTTCTCTATAGTTCCAGAGTAAGACTTCATTCTTATAGTACCTCCATCGCCTAGACCAGTGCCTGGGTAACATGGAGTACGTGCAGCATGTATTTTTGAAAGAATGGACAATTCACCGAGCTGGGTTTGATTGAGATCCCTGCTTTTACAGATGAGAGACCCAAGGCTCAAGAGAGTTTAAGTAGCTTGTCTTTGAGTGAAGACTGTAAGGAAGACCCAGAACATCCGTGGCTGCATGTCATGTGCTTCATCAACAAGTGGACACTGGGAAATACCTTCTGCCCTGAGCTGCAATCAGAGATTTCCATCCTGATTGGTGAAAACAAAATCAAAGATTTGCCTATTTCAATGGTCCAAGCTAGAAGGCTGTGTTTATAAAGTCCAGATTAGAAAGAGCCTGAGCTAGAAGGAAGTAGAGCTGGGAGTGGAAGCAGTTCCCTCTGCTGGCTCAGTCATAATTTATCCACTGTTACCTTGGCTGTGGCTAGGCATTAGTGGAATGAAAATAGCATACACCTCATTTCTGGCAGCACCTCCTGACCCATTTAACAGGAAAAGAATCAACTCACTTTTTTCCAGAGGCTCAGGGTATATTAGACAGTACACTAGCCAGTATTGAAACGGTGCTTTGTGACATAAAAATGCTTTCATTTCTACAATTCCACTTAACTCTCTGAAGAAGTGAGTGGCTATTGCCTTGTCTCCATTGGCTAGATGAGCAAACACTTGATTCCGTGAAGAAATGATAGGATCTTGGTTTCCTTAACTTCGGGAATTCTGATGCAAACTGCAGATGTTTCATTCAGGGCACATTGTTCGTGATAAGTCAGATGATTCTGTTTTCAGGGTCTCTTTTTTCCCATCTGTTAAGTAGATTTTCATCTGTGGTTTGCGGGGGGGGGGGGGGGGGGGGGGCAGGGTTCTTGATATTCTCCTGACCATGAGAATAGCACAAGATGCTCTCTCTCATGCTGACTAGAACTCACTTAGACATACATTCCAATCATTAGCTGGAAACAGGTGATCTAGAGCCTGCTTCCTACTCCAGCGCTGAATGGTCATTATAGAGTGTTGGAACTTCCAGTGTCCACTTGGAAAATGGACCTCTAGAGTCAGGGTCGCAACATGTGTGTCATGAGTGTTAGGTTTTTAAAAAGAGGTGGCCGAGTAAGAACTGCACCACGCACGTGGTATTCAGGTAAGGGGTAGGTTTATTCAGTAGACCTGCTGGGACCAGGCAAGGTTGGCACTCCACGCGGCTGGCAAAAGGAAAAAAAGGGCGGTCTGGCCGCGGTTTAGGCCTTATATAGGGTAGGGGGTGGGGAAGGGTGTGTCCAGGTAAAGGGAAGTGGGATCAGGTGGGAGAAAGGTGTGGCCACATCAGGTTAAGATGTGACCTCAGCGGATGCGGATGTGACCTCTTCCAGGTATCCCAGTTGCCTAGGTAACGCAGGTACTGGGTGAGGTCTGTTCGCCGTCCAGGAATGGACCTTACATTCCAGCCTTTTGATAATTATGAAAAAGGGCGAAGACTCTCTCTGGCTACTTCCTGCTGGCAAAGGGCGTCGTAGGGGTAAAAGGCTGGGATGTGGTCCATGCTGGGAGAAGGCAGCAGGCTGCAGCTGTCACTTGGGTGTTGAGTCCTTCGATGAAGTTTGGAGGAGGCAAGTCTCTTGGACGAAGTCTGGAGAAGTTTTATGAGGCATTGACGGAAACCTGAACAAATAGGAACTCTGACAATTTTTTTTTTTTTTTTTTTTTTTTTTTTTTTAAAACCTAGAATGGCTAGCCTTTGAGAGGGAACCTAGAGGGGGGTCCCCGGGACCCAGCCTGCGTCGCACTCTTCAGGGCACAAGCCAAAAAGTTGTAGAGTCAGTCTGGTGAGTGAAGGAGAGCTTACCAGGCAGAAGCGGCGTCCCGACTTCCCCCAGAGCCCTCTAGAGAGAAATGGCCAAGCCCCCAAAGCCAAGCGTCCTCGGCTTCAGAGGTGACCAGCCTTTCAGCTAAAGGCCGTAGGAGCTCTCTGGCGTGGCGCCACGTCTGGACAGAGACTGAGCAACAGAGAGCCGTAGAGTAGTTTCACTCACCAGAGTAGAGAAGTGGTGTGGACGTGGATGTGAAGGCCAGAAATGGTATCGGTGAAAAATCTCGCATAGTGTCAAGGCAGTTCAGTTCACAAAAAAGGGGTGGTTAGGAAATTAGCTGATGAAAAGAACACCATGCACTATTCAGGCAGGAAAAGAAGTTAATTTGACTGAACTGTTGCCCCCACCCAGCATGGTGGAGAAGCATGGCTGAAAAAGGAAAGGGGGGGGGGAGGAAGAGGGGTGACCTAGTAGAAGGTGACTGCTTCCAGGTCTGCCAGTTCCATGATGTCTGCAAGAAGCGAGTCTCTTAGATGAAGTCTGGAGGAAGTCTTCTCAGGCAGGGGGCTGAACAAAGATGAAAAGCAAATATATTACTGGAAAGAAAAGATTGGATGTCCATGGCTTGGAGGTGTCCTAAGGGATGAGATAGTGAGGTCTTTGGGGAGGAGAGCAGTTAGCTCAGTTTTACTCACCCGGATCTTCAGGGATGCGAGACAGCCTTACCTTGGTAGGCCCGAGGGGGGAACAGGTGTACCTGGAGGTCAGGGTTGGTATAGAAGGGGCAGGAACAGGAGCCCTTTTTATTCTTGACAGGTGAATCCACTGGGGCTGTCCATTGAGCTTGACTGCGGTGGGGGTTGTCAGCAGAACCTGGTGAGGGCCTGTCCACTTAGGGTGTAAACCAGATGGATTAAGGGTCTTGAGAAACACTTGATCACCAGGCAAAATTGGGGGAGTGGGAAAGGGGCCTTGATGAGGCTGAGGGAGACACTGGTCAGCATGTTGGCGCAGCATGTGCCTAAGAAAGGTTAGGACAGGAAGGTAGTCTATTAGTGGAGTCTTGGCATTGTCAGTAGGGAAATTACCTAGGAGAAAAGGTCTTCCATACATTAACTCAAAGGGGCTGAGGAAAGTAGGGCTGCGGGGAGAAACACGTAAGCGGGTGAGCGCCAGGGGTAACAGTTCTGGCCAGGATTTCTGGAGCTCTAGAGAAAGTTTAGTAAGTTGTGTTTTGAGGAGCGCATTAGCTCTTTCAACCTTTCCAGAAGACTGAGGTCTATAAGGAATGTGAAGATTCCACTGGATGTTTAGAGAGGATGCCACCTGTTGGGTCACTTTGGAGATGAAAGCAGGTCCATTGTCAGACTGAAGTGACCTGGGTAAGCCAAACCTAGGAATAATTTCTTTAATAAGGACAGAGGCAACAGTGTCAGCAGTCTCCAACGTTGTGGGATAGGCTTCAATCCATCCTGAAAAGGTATCAACCATAGTTAGAAGGTATTTCAGCCGCTTACATCTGGGCATGTGAGTGAAGTCTATCTGCCAGTCTTCCCCTGGGGTATGTCCCCGTGCTTGGTGTGTGGGGAATGCAGCTGGTCGGAGACCACCCTGTGAGGAGGTAAGAGAACATGTGGGGCAGGCTTGGGTAATAGCCTTTAGTCGAGTAGTTAGGCTAGGGCAATGGATTAAAGGTTTAAGAAGGTGGGAGAGAGGCTTGTATCCAATGTGCAGCGCCTGGTGAACCTGGGAAAGAAAGCTGTCTGCTTGTGCCTCGGGAAGAACAACTCGTCCTTCCAGGGACCACCATCCCTGTGCTTCCTGGGAGGCTCCCTGGTGCGTAAGTTCCTCGAGCTCCTGTGGGGTATAAGAGGGTTGAATTGAAGGCAATACCAGTAGCAAGGGAGCTGGAAGTTGTCCCTGGAGTTGTCTCTGGGCTGCTAGCTTTGCCTCCCGGTCTGCTTTTGAATTGCCGACTGTAATGGCATCCAATCCTGTCTGGTGTCCTCTGCAGTGGATGACCGCTACCTGCTGGGGAAGGGAAGCAGCTTCTAATAGTTTAAGAATAAGTGAGGCATTAGTAATGGGAGTCCCTTTGGTGGTCAGGAAGCCACGCTCCTTCCAGATTGCTGCATGAGAATGGAGAATATGATAGGCATATTTTGAGTCTGTATAAATATTAATCTTCCGACCCTTTGCTAGAATTAAGGCCCTAGTTAAAGCTATAAGTTCTGCCTTTTGTGAGGTAGTGCTAGGGGGCAGAGGGCTGCTTTCAAGAATGGTAGAGTTATTAACGATGGCATAGCCTGCAACTCGGCTTCCTGAAGAGGTAGATATGGAACTGCCATCGATGTACCAGGTGTCTTCTGGGTCAGGAAGAGGAGTTTCCGAGATACCTGTAAAATGGGGTGTGAATTCCTCCAAGGTCTCTGTACAGGAATGGGAAAGAGGGTTAGAATTGGATGGAAGCAAGGTAGCTGGATTGAGCGGGGAGCAGCTTTCCAGTGAAAAGTCAGGGTTTTGAATAAAAGTAACATGAAACAGCTGTAGGCGGGAAGGGGAAAGGGAAGACAGGGATTTATGAGACAAAAGGTCCTTTAGTCTGTGGGGAGAGCGAATGGTAGTGGGTTGGCCAAAAGTGAGTTTTGTGCTCTCCTGTGCTAAGGTGGCTGCTGCTGCCAAAGCTCGAAGACATGCTGGCCAGCCTTTTACCGTTGGGTCTAGCTGTTTTGAGAGGTAGGCCACAGGTCTAAAGGAGGGGCCTGACATTTGTCCAAGAACCCCAAGGCCAATTCCCCACTTCTCAGTGACATAGAGTATAAAGGGTTCCTTGAGGTTGGGTAGAGCCAGTGCTGGAGCCCGAAGAAGCGCTTGCTTCAGAACTTTAAATGGGGTGTCAATGGGCTTTGTGGGGTCTGGTGGCTCCAATAGGGAACCTTTGGATGCCTCATAAAGAGGTTTGGCCAATGTGGCAAAACCGGGTATCCAAATACGAAGGAAGCCTGCAAGTCCCAGGAAAGACAGAATGTCCTCCTTGGTCTGTGGGACAGAGAGAGACTCAATGTAGGCTTTTCTATCAAGAGTAATTCTTCTCTCTGTAGGAGTTATGGACAAACCCAAGTATGTTACCTCTGACTTCGCTATCTGGGCCTTTGAAGGAGAGACTCTATATCCTTTTGTCAACAGGAAGTTGAGGAGGTCAGCTGTATGTTGGCGAGCCAACTCAAAGGAAGGGCTGCAAAGCAAAAGATCATCCACATACTGGAGAACAATGCTAGGAGACACCTGAAGAGAGAGGAGATCCTTTGCTAAAGCCTGTCCAAAGAAATGGGGACTGTCTCGGAACCCTTGAGGGAGGACCGTCCAGGTCAGCTGTTGTGCCCTTGAAGTGTCTGGGTCCACCCAAGTAAAAGCAAAGAAATCTTGGCAGTCGGGATGCAGGGGGATTGTGAAGAATGCATCCTTGAGGTCCAGCACTGAGAAGTGGGTGGTACCAGGAGGTATCTGTGAAAGGAGGGTATATGGGTTAGGCACAACAGGATGAATGGGAAGGACTGCAGCATTAATAGTGCGCAGGTCCTGGACTAGGCGGTAGGTCCCATCAGGTTTAACTACTGGCAGGATAGGGGTGTTAAAGGGGGAGTTAGTGGGTCTGAGAAGTCCTTGTTTAATAAGGCGAAGGATGATGGGTTTTAAACCTTGCCTGTGCCTAAGGGAAATGGGGTATTGGGAAGTACCAGGAAAATGGGTAGGGTTTTTAAGTTTAATCAGGACAGGAGTATGGTGTCTAGCCATAGTAGGAGTGGAAGTATCCCAGATAAGAGGGTTGACAAGATCTGGAGGTAAAGGGAAAGGATCTAGTTGGGAAGTTACAGGTGGAGGTTCATCTAAAGATAAAAGTAGAACAGGTGTAGGCTGTTTGGGGATATGGAATGAAAGGGAGACTTGAAATTTAGAGAGCAAGTCCCTTCCTAGGAGTGGGGTAGGACAGTGAGGTAGGATTAGGAAGGAGTGTGAAAAGGGAAAGTCTTCTATTTTACATGATACTGGTCCTGTAGTTGGGGGACAGGTAGGTAGGCCATCTACACCCACCACCGAGATCTGGGAGGGAAAAGTCTTGCCTGTATATTGACATAGCACCGAGTAAGTCGCTCCCGTATCCAAGAGAAAAGATATTAACTTACCGGCTACATAGAAACACACCCTGGGCTCCGTCATTGTGATGGTCTGGTTGTTGGGAGCAGGTGGCCCTGGGCACCTTCATTCTGTAGCCAAGCAGAAAATCTCCGACCTGTCTGGCTCCGCCTGCCTGGGTGGGCGGGGTGGGGGAGGGGCTGGCCTACCTTGTGGAGGTGAGGAGGGGCAATCGACTCCCCAATGTCCTTGCTGCCCACACCTTGGGCAGGGTCCAGGTGGAGGTCGTGGTGAGGGACAGAATTTCGCCCAGTGGCCCTCTTGCCCACACTTGAAGCATGCTCCAGGTGGTGTATGTTGGGTGCCTCTCCTCAGAGGAGGCCGGATGGCAGCAGCCAGGATTTGATAGTTCTCCCTCTCACGGGCAGTCTTATCGGCAATCTCCTGTTCCTCTCGATTATTGAAAACTTTAAATGCCATACTCACCAGATCTCGTTGAGGGGTCTGAGGACCGTTCTCAGCCTTTTTTAACTTTTTCCTAATATCAGGGGCTGATTGGGCAATAAAATGCGTATTGAGAACCACCTTAGCCTCTGGTGACTCTGGGTCCAGCCTTGTATAGCGCTGGAGCGCTACTGTAAGGCGCTCAAGAAATTCTGCCGGGTTTTCATTGGGCCTTTGAGTAATGTGGTTTAATTTGTCATAATTAACAGGGAGATAGGCTGCCTTTTGAAGGCCAGCCACTAAGCAAGTTATCATCCTATTTCTGCTTTCCTGCCCAGGAGCATTATGTTGATAATTCCAATTGGGCTCTTCCCTAGGCACAGCTGTTGCTCCCACTGGAAAGTTAATATCTAGGCGGTGAGCTTCATCGGCATGTGCCTGGGCTGCAGTCCACACCCTTTCTTTTTCCTCAGCAGTAAGGGTAGAGGATAGTATTAGATATATGTCCTGCCAAGTAAGGTCATAGGTCTGAGCCAGGTTCTTAAACTGCTTAACATAATTATTAGAATCTTGGGCATAAGATCCCAGCCTCTTCTCAATCTGAGCAATATCAAACATTGAGAATGGCGCATGCACCCTAATTACACCTTCAGCCCCTGCCACCTCTCGCAAAGGGCACATGGGGTCTGGTGGAGGTTGTGTGCCACCAGTGCGAGACCGGGTGTGAGCTGCAGGGGGGGAAGAGAGAGAGGGTGAAGGAGAGGAGAGTGAAGAAGGTGGGGAAGGCACCAGATGCTCAGCAGGAAGAGGGGCAGAGTCAAAAAGAGGGTCAGCCACATCAGGCTCCGGATGGGGCCCTGCGCTATCAGAGCTGGGTTCTCCACGTGCCAGGAGGAGTGGAAAGGCCGGGCATGATTGGCATAGGGCAGGGTTGTCCCGGAGAGCAAAGAATGGCTGAATATGAATGACCTCAGACCATTTACCATTACGACGGCAAAAATCGTCTAAATCTCTGAGAATGACGTAGTCAAAAGTCCCGTCTTTGGGCCATCGAGAACGATTATCCAGTTGGTACTGTGGCCAAACTTGAGTGCAATAATAAATCAGTTGTTTCTTGTTGATGCAGTCAATAGACAAGACATCCAGGGAACGCAGGAGGCATTTCAATGGAGTTTCCTCCTTTGGGCGTGACTTACAACAACCCATTGGAAATGTAAAAGAGAAAAACGTAAGAGGAAAATTTAGTGAGTGAAGGAGGGCTTACTGAATGGAAGCGGTGTCCCAACTTACCACCGAGCCCTCTAGAGAGAAGTGACGAGCAACCAGAGTCAAGTAAAGGCCTAGTAGGTTCTCCGGCGTGGTATCTGGAAAGAGACTGAACGACAGAGAACCCTTAGAGAGTAGGTCACTCACCAAAATGTAGAAGTGTGGAGGAAGATGCAGAGGCCAGCAATAGAATTGATGCACTGTGTCCGCAGCAGATAGACGGGTTCATAAAAGGCCGTCAGAACTGTGGGTATTCCTCAGAGCAAAAAGGGGAAAACAAACAAAAAACGAAAAAAAAGAAAAGAAAAGGAAAAAAAACAGAGAGGAATCCAGCTATCCTGACTTTAAGCCCTTTATCCGAGTCACGGCACCATTTATGTTAGGTTTTTAAAAAGAGGTGGCCGAGTAAGAACTGCACCACGCACGTGGTATTCAGGTAAGGGGTAGGTTTATTCAGTAGACCTGCTGGGACCAGGCAAGGTTGGCACTCCACGCGGCTGGCAAAAGGAAAAAAAGGGCGGTCTGGCCGCGGTTTAGGCCTTATATAGGGTAGGGGGTGGGGAAGGGTGTGTCCAGGTAAAGGGAAGTGGGATCAGGTGGGAGAAAGGTGTGGCCACATCAGGTTAAGATGTGACCTCAGCGGATGCGGATGTGACCTCTTCCAGGTATCCCAGTTGCCTAGGTAACGCAGGTACTGGGTGAGGTCTGTTCGCCGTCCAGGAATGGACCTTACAATGAGGTAAAACAAGGAACCAGTCCATGAGTTAGAGAATCGGGGAACATTGGAACTGAGATCAATAGGCTTAAAACCAGATCATTTGGATGAATTACTATGAATACACTTTATTAGTTATAGTAAAACTAAGCTGCTATAATGAAGAAACCACAAATTAAATTAACCTATTTTTTTAAAGACTTCTTTTCTCCCATAAAAAAGCAGTCTAGGGAGTTCTCAAGATGGCGACGGGGCAGTAGGGAAACGCCACAGCTCTCTCCAACCAAAAAGAGAGTTCGAGTTCCAACCTTTAATCTCCCCAAGAGACCGACAACAACAAAAAGACGAACACTCAGAGAAAAACCAGAGGTGGAAAATAACAAAAAAAGAAAGAGAGGAAAAGAAGAATTTCAGAACAGAGAAGAGCGAAGACCCCTCCCCCAACCTTTACTGGCCGCGCGGCAGTGCGCCAAGCCGCCGGCCAGCCGGCCCCGCGGGGGCTGCCGGAGCCACAGAGACACAGGGGGCTGCTTGCAGATCACCAGGTACCGGATTGCAGAACAGCGGATCGCCAGGAACAGAGAAACCTACCAGCCGGGAGTCTCCAGGAGGATCCCACCCCACCCATCACTCTCCACCGGAGTGGAGAGGCTCCATCCCGCCAAAGCCGCCCGGCACCAGCAGCAGACCACCCGCCCAATCGCGATCGCAACGACCCGGCGGGGGGCCGCCCAACCCAGCCCGCAACCACCCCAACTGAACTCGGACTGCAACAACAACTGACGGACTGCAACAACAACTGACGACCTACAGGGTGAGTACCCATCAGGGGACAGGGAATCCATCAAGGGAGACCAGAGCTGGAGGGAATCCCCAGACCCTGACCTAGACTCCCTACCCCAACACCCGGACCACAGAACCCACTAAAACTGGGAACTGTTCGAGAGCCCCACCAGCCGGTGGAGCACACTCTGCTGGCCAGGCCAGAGCAAGAGCGCCCCGGGAAGGGAGCTTAAATGCTCAAGCCAGGAACAGTGCCCCTGGGTCAAGACTACCAACAGTAGAAGAAATTTGAACTGTGTCCTCCAGGCTGCATAACCAAGGTGGTATACACATTAGCACAGGCCTAACGAGCGCGCTCCAGGCTGGGGCCGGAACCAGGCCAGGGGACCGGCGCCTGAACAAAGCAAAAAGGGTCAGAAGTGGGGCTGTGGCTCAAATGGTAGGGTGCCAGCCCTGAGCTGAAGAGCTGAGGGACAGCACCCAAACCTAGAGTTCAAGCCCACAACCAGCCCAAAACAAACAAACAAAAACACATCAGGAGCCCATAGCAGACTCCAGTATTTGGGAGAGTGCATCCAGAGCATCTGATCTTCCCAAGAGCACCCGCAGGAGCAAACACAAGCAGTCTAGGCTGCTCAACCCTTCCAAAGGCGGGAATTGCTACAGCAGAGAGCTGAGAATCCTAAGTGAATAGCAGCTGGAAATAGGCTCCCAACAGAATCCAGATCAGACACAGACTCTCTCTACCAATACAGAATCAGCAACCAAGCAAAGACAGACACACCAAAACAAGATTGAAGAGCAGTCTCCTGAACCCCCATGCGAAAATCACAGAGAAAAATCACAAGGTTTACCACTACCCAGGACAGCAAGCTCACCTCAAAAGCCAGCAGCCACGCAGGGGAGAGCCCCAGTGGGAGCAAAGCAGGAATGGAAGACAAAAACTACATCCAAGGGTTGCTGGAGGCAATGACTCAAGAAATAAAGCGAGAAATGGATCAGAAATTGAAAGAGCACAAGGATGAACTATCAAAAGATATACAGGATATCAAACAAAAATTGGATGCAAAAATAGAAGCTGCACAAACCTCAGTAAGAAGTGAGATAAACGCCAAATTAGAGGTAATGCATACTGATATCACCTCATTGAGAGGTGAGATCAGTACTCTGAGAACCAACATTGAATCCATAAAGGGATCCATTTCCACCATGCAAACCACAATAGAAGCCACGGTCAACAGAGTGAATGAAATGGAAGGTAGAGTGTCAGATACAGAAGACAGAATACACCAACTGGACCAAAAAGTGACAGATATGGAAAAATCACTCAAATTAAACCAAAGGGAAATTCAAGAGCAAGCAGATAATGCTAAAAAATTTAACCTTCGCATAATCGGAGTGGACGAAGGTGAGGAATTCCAGAGCAAGGGAATGCAACACCTATTTAACAAGATAGTCAATGAAAATTTTCCCCACCTCAAAAACGACCATCTTAACTACATCACAAAAGCTTATCGAACACCCAACAAGCAAGATCCCAGGAGAAACACTTCTAGGCACATAATAGTAACAATGATGGATCTGAATAATAAGGAAACAATCCTGCATGCAGCAAAAATGAAGAAGGAGCTATACTACAACGGGAAAAAAATTAGAATCACTGCAGATCTCTCCACACAAACAATGAATGCAAGAAAAGCCTGGGAAAGCACCATACGAGCCCTGAGAGCCAATAACTGCCAACCCAGACTGATATACCCGGCAAAGCTAGCATTCACATTCGATGGAGAACTGAAAACTTTTAATAGCAAAGAAAAACTAAATGAATACATAAACATTAAGCCAGCATTACAAAGAATTCTAAGAGGGGGGACACAACCTGAAGAAAGCAACCAGGAACTGGGACCTGCCCCAAACAGGCATTACTCAAAGTCTAACTGAGCAAGCACAGGAGGAAAGGAAAGAAGAAAAACTTAGGAAAACGGAATGGCAGGGACAACAATGCATCTCTCTATACTTTCTCTTAATATAAATGGGCTGAATTCGCCAATTAAAAGAAAACGAACTGAGGACTGGATCAGAAAACAAGACCCATCCATCTGTTGCCTTCAGGAGACCCACCTCTCAGCCAAACATACAAACAAACTCAGAGTGAAGGGGTGGAAAAGGATCTACCAATCAAATTCCCCCAATAAGAAAGCAGGTGTAGCTATCCTGATATCTGACAAAATAAGCTTTTCATTAAAATCAGTACAGAAAGACAAGGACGGACATTACATATTAATAAAGGGAACAATCCAAGAGGAGGATATAACCATCATCAACTTATATGCCCCAAATATCGGTGCACCCAGATATGTTAAACAAATGCTCTCAAACTTACAGAATAAAATAGATCCCAATACGATAATACTAGGAGACTTTAACACGCCACTCTCACCAAAGGACAGGTCTACCAACCAGAGGATTGGCAAAGAAGCTACCGAATTAAGTGAGGCCATACTTCAAGCGGAATTAACTGACATCTACCGAGTATTTCACCCTAAAACAACACA